GAAGCAAATCAATTATTTCGATCGGTTCAAAATGACATTCATTTCTATATCTTTTACGATGGTACAAACGTAGTTATTCTGAGCAACATCGACAAAAGACGACTTATCAACTGAATTGTCACATTTCTTGCAGGAACGAGTATTAACACCATTAGTGACGAATGTAATATCCACTGGCCATTACCTCCTACTTAGTTGTTTTAAATGCAATCCTTGTTATTAGTTAAAGAATCGGGTTATTAATTCTGACAGTGATTAAGTGTTGATATTTAGAAGTTACACGTGTGTATTGTTTGTACGATTACACTTAAGGAAAAACATGGGAAAAGTATTTTGTTATTCATTATAAGCTGTATACAGTGCCTACTTTGGAATGAGAATTCACTGCAATGAACTTAGTACTTGCTTTCTAGCAAAGAGCACATTTCAGTGGAGGACATTATTCCCTCTTTAAGCCAGAGTATATTAGTGCGATACAGTATAACAGTTTTGTGTCCCTATTGGTCAAGTACCACTCTCTAACCCCCAGTTACACTGGACAACAAAACATTTGCTGCTAAAGAAAACTCAAGTGATTCGGGGTAATCTGATGGTGCTAATTTCAAAACTGTAGTCAGAATTTGTCAATTCCTTCTGGATTTTGAGTTATTGTAATATCTCACTATTTTATCAGCACTATGTGAAATATCATGCAATCAACTCAGTACAATAGATTTATGAAATTAAATTTACTTGGACAGTTTATTGGGTAAAAGGCATACATTTTTAAAACTTGCAACACTGACTGTATTGCGTTGATGTAAAATTCCAAATAAATTGTTCATATATACTATTTGTTCTCGATATAATTGTAGCGAATTGCACCAATTTTGCTTCATTCCCACGCCCACCTACTCCACCCGGGAATCGCGAAACCCTCACGTGCTCAGTTTGCTAGGACATTCGAGAAGTCCCTAGACTTGGCATAAAAGGGACGGAGTCAAATGTCACGTTTCCCTTCCTTCCTCCCTCTCAGTTGTCTCTCACTCACCCAGTTGGTCACTTCGCCTCACTCTGTGCACAGTGAAAACACAACCCGATCTTCTTCCTCACATCATACTCACGATATAATCAAATTCTACAAAACTTTCTTTTTAAAATCTTTTAAACATTCTTTCTGCTGTTTGAGTAACGTCTGAAAGTGCAAAACTCACCAAACATATACTGCTACATTTGTGGAAAATACATTACAGTTTCACAAAGGAAGACATCACAAAATAAAGGTAGCTTACTCCCACTATTTCGGGTGAATAAATGGTGACCAAAAAAAAACAAAAAACACGTGTGTGTTGTACAGTTTGCACATCTGGTTTGACACAATGGCTGAATAAGAAGAGAATAAATATGCCATTTGCAGTTCCCGAAGATCATCTAACTGACTGTTATTATTGGATATTCAGGCAAAACTAAACTAAGCATTAAATATCCAGATATTGCATCTGCAATGAAACCAGTACCCAGCGAACTGGGAAACAGAAGAGTTATCTTGTGAAGAAGGCAAGGAATCATCTTCATCCTCTTCATCTAGTGATTCTATCCTTGTGGCACCTCAACATAAACTGCCTCATGATTTGATTCCTGGCTTTTCTCTATCAAAGCAGCATGGGGAACTATTTTGGCTCTTGTTTACAACCATGGAATTTATTAGTTTCAGGAACAAAAGTTTAAATTTACTGAAGTCGCCATCAATGTCTTGCTTCTCGCTACAGCATTCAAGATACGTTTTGTGTTTCTGTACAAATGTTGATGTACTAATGAAAACATTGGGTGTTGAACATCATCCTCAAGAGTGGAGACTTGTTATCGACTCATCGAAAGTTAGTCTGAAGGCTGTACTTTTGCACAATGAGAACACTGAGCCATCGATTCCTCTGAACATAAAAAAACAGATTAAATAAGCAGATTATACATTCTTAAATGCAATTTTTAATGAATAAATAAAGTAATTAAATAAAAAGTTTATTTAAAAAAGTATTTTGAATAAATCTCTCATAACTTGAGAACTGGAGGCGACCAGTAATTTTCAGCATGGTTTTTAGAATCAGCATCGTCAGATTACTCAGAAACAGTTGCGTTGTTTCTAGTAACAGAGAAATTTTTGTTGTTGTTGTTGTTGCCCACTGTTATCTCAGATAAAAATCAAAGTTATATTATTTTTGATGCAAAGTTATCAAACAAGTCAAATAATATATTAGCTGCAAAGACTGGTGTGCCCTTTGCGGTGTTTTAAGAGTGACAGCAGAGCTGGTGCTTTGCTGTTGGTTTTTACAATGATGTTCGTTCTCTCTGTTGGGAAATCTCTTGCGTAAAATGTGTAATATTATTCGAAACCGAACAAAACGTTACGTTAATTTACTGAGGAGTGGTAGAAGTTACAAAGTTTATTGCACGTTGTTATTAAATTGTTTTAAACGACTAAAAGTTATTTTAAGCACTTCTAGTTTCTGTGTATTGTATAATGTTTATTTGCATTTTAAACGTAAAATACACAACATAGTGATCAAGTTTTTAATGAAAGTTATTAATTTACTTTTAAGTTGTGTTTATTAGCTTTAAGCCATGTAAAAAATAACTTGGGGTGAAAAGGACGAATAAACCATTTGTTTGTTTAAAAAATATATTACTTTTAGTTGATAAATAAAACTGTGCAACTGTTTAAAAAAATCTCAAGCGTATAATTTTTTTTATTTTGCTGTAGTATATATTGTGTAAATCATATTTTTCAGTCTTAATCATGAATATTATGAAACATTTCACAAAGCCAAATGAAGAATGTCGAAAAATCACAAATCTTTGGAACAAACTAAAACAGTTAGACCCACATGATTTCTTTTTGGCATAAAATAACCTATTATGTTAAATCACAGTGTCTAAACCATATTGAAGGTTTTAGACATCCCATGACTTTATAGGACTGATTAATCCCATTAATAAACCTTGGACCAGCACCTATTACATAAAACCTAGATGCTAAATGATTAGTTACACGAGAATATGCGATATGTGTCTGTGGAAAAACATTAACATCCTTCTCTCCCCTCTGATGAGATTCAACCTGTGCAAGAACCTATCATTGAAATACAAAATGAAGAAATTAGCTTCCCAGACTGGTTTGGCGAAGAATACCCTTCTGTTACATAAGGAACCTCCTAGGTCCAGGAACACCTAAGACCTCACAGCCAACAGCCAAGGCAGCAGGTGACCACAATTATACATGGACTAAGTAAAGTAAGGATGTTATTTTACTTATTTAATTCTGCGAAATTGAGCGTTATATCGGACGAGGAATTATCTCTGAATTTTCCTGACGGAGTGCAGTGTCTAACATTTAGCTTTCAATGAGGCAGTGAAACTAATAAAGTCTCTGGAGAGGAACAATATCATATTTAAGCATGCACTTTGCTATCACTGTCAAGATGGAACATACTATGTTAGGACAATATGACGATATTATACACGGTATAGACTCTTAATACCAGAATTTGGTGTAACAGTGTAAAAAGAAAACAGTTTATAGTGTATGTTTGAAACTCTTGGATTTAGAAAGTAAAAATTAAATACAAGTAAAATTGCTTTAAGAGATAATGATGGACTAGTAAACCTTCTACAGATAAACAGATAATTACTTTTAATTTAAAGACAAGATTTCTAAAACGCATTGCTCTTACATTATCTATAAATTTAAACGTACAAGTTGTAACCATGGCTATGCAGGCTCTAGAATTCGTTGTTTGAGTTCTAGGATTTAAGAGCATGCGCAAAATACCCCATATAATCAGTAAGCCATTCTTCGCCACTTCTTAGAAGACTGTGGCTTTATATCTACGGCCAGTGAGTTCAACATTTTGAGATATACACCAAATAAAAAAATGCTCACAACTAAACAAGCGAAACTAAAATTCTGATTCCTGATAGCTAGCGCCATCTGTGAAGACAAAAAGATATCTTCCACAAATTCATAGTGGTCATCACTTCTGTTTACTGAAAGCCGAAACTTGGTCAAGTATCTATCTAAAGGGCAGCTCCATATGGCAACAGTAATACCAGTAGCTATATTAGTAGCAATAAATTCATCAGGCATAACAAGCAAATTTATTGTATTTATGAAACAAGAAAAGTACGTAGGTGGAGCTCTATTTGGATCACACGATGAACGGCCCCAACAAAGACAAAAAGGGTCGCGTACAACAAATGGCAATCTCTCTCTCTCTCTATTTATTAATTCATTTGATCTCATATCGTTGAATTTATTTATTTATTTTTGAAGAGCACTTACATTTTAATTTAACAAATAAGTTACAATACCAGCGTGAAGAGAAAGAATCAAAGTACATTTCAGAGAAAGGTTGAGCATACTTCAACATAGTGCTTTTCTAAGTAATCAGAAGCTGAAGGAAAGTTAAGCCTAATAATACTGATAAAAGCGGTTGATCCTCCCATTTTTCAAAATACACTTAAAACCTGATCTAGAAGTTCGTTCATTTTAGCACAATGTCAAGATGGGAGGAAGAGTAAACGTGACACTGCCAGATGCACTATTAAATCTAATTACCGACAAAGGGCATAGTCCCTGTTTTTGAAGGTATAATAGAAGAGCGTAGAAGAGTGTGTGTGTCAGAAAAGAACGTGATATATGTATATAAATATAAGGAGTAAATATTTACATAATTTTAATAATTGTTGTTTCGATTATTAATAAAATTCCTTTGACATAAAACTCGCTCACATGCAAAGAACGAATAGTAAAATCAATGTCAAATGTTATTAAGTTATATTCCTAAATAAACATGTCGTAACATAGTTTTGGGTTTTAGTATTTTATATGTATTTTTATCATTATAAATATCGAACTCATGTGATGGAATTATTTATATTCATGATTAATCATTTTTGTTCTATCGTACTTCAAGTGACGTGCGTACGTAATAACACGAATCGAAACCAAAACTAATATGGGAGGTGTAACAAGCCCTGTGTCGAGAGTATATGTATTAGCATATTCATAGTATTAGAAAGGGTTAACGAAACTGGATACGAAAAGTTGGTAAGTGTGAAGAACATTTTCGGGGAACTATATCTCTCATCAGTAACCCTGGACAAGGTAAAATCTAAAAAAAAATAAGATCAGGCTTCGTATATTGGTGGAGTATTTATCATGTGTATGGTGTTTTGAAATATTTTTAACTCACAAAATATTTTTTATTTTTTAGTATTTTAAACAGCTTGTCTGGCCGAACAGTTCACAATAATAAATTTGTAGTATCAATGATCCATATTCTTGAAATTTCTATATATATAGGATTACTATGTAAGTAAAATACATTTCAAAACACTGTACAAACAATACCGAATGTTGGTTGTAGCTTGTATTTATTTTATTTGTTATCTATGGCTTTAACAGTATGTAGCTTTCTTATTCACTTGTCGCACAAATATGACAAAATCAGCCAATATGATCCAACACTTGTCATGTGTATTTCGTACTGAAAGCTGAATTTCGAATTAAAAAAAACATACAGTCAGGAATTTTGATAGAAAACAGTAACGTTTTGTGTTTAAGAGTAACGTGAAGTGTTTTGGATTTGGTTGGTTGGTTGTTCAGGATTGGGCTGTCTGCTGTGTCCACCGTGGGATATCGAACCACTGTAGTTTAGAGTTCTTAAACTTACCGATGTCTCAGCGGGGAGCCCCCAGTGGCACAGCGGCATGTCTGCGGACTTACAACGCTAGAATCCGGGTTTCGATACCTGTGGTGGGCAGAGCACAGATAGCCCATTGTGTAACTTTGTGCTTAATTACAAACAAACAAACAAACCCAGCGAGGACATTTTGCATTTCGAATAAAACCACAAAGAACCAAATATTAATTTCGTAAAATTTTTATTTTTCATCTTTTCGTTCACTTTGACTAATAAATTCCCACTTTCAAGCTGAATATGTTTTTATTGAAGTTATTGATCGTTTCATCACAGATAAACCATTTTTATATCTTAATATTTGCATAATTCATTCTTAATAACAAAAAGCGTGATTGAGCAATTCAGGATTCACCAAAGTGTATCATAGCTCCAGAAAAAAAACTGGAAGTCGCTCAATTTATGTTTCTGTAGGGTTTGTTTGTTTGAAATTAAGCACAAATGGGCTATCTATGAACTACCCACTACGGGTATCTAACTCCGGTTTTAGTGTTTTAAGTGCGCAGACATACCGCTGTGCCACTGAGGGCGTTTTTGCGTGTTTTTTTTGTAGGGACGAAAGTCTAAAACCTACCTAACGGCTTAAATAATTTAACCTATAAAAACACAAAGGACATGTTTAAGTCAAGATGAATTTCATATATATTATTAACAACCAAGAACTACTAAAAAGTGACAAATGAATTGGGACTTGATGAGCTCATATTAACGCTATCAAAAACCTATTCAACAGTTTTAATTCATGCATCATTGAAAAACACAAGCAATTGCACAATTTATGTAGATTTATAAAATATATGAACAATGACGAAAACTGTAATTAGTCTCATAATAAGTCAACTCAACAGTTTAATATATTCAATCCTAAAAACACAGAACGCGAGATTGAAGCGAACTGATTCGTACATATTTTAATAGATAGTGTGTGTGTGTGTTTCTTATAGCAAAACCACATCGAGCTATCTGCTGTGTCCACCGAGGGAAATCGAACCCCTTATGAGATAGATCAAAGACTATTCAATTTTATAAAACTACATGTACTTCCGCTGGGTCCCCGAAAGTGTTCCGTTTCAAGAGTAAATAAAACTAAAATTAAAAATAACAAATATTTTTACTTCTTGTTTTTGATGTTTATATGTCATGCTGTGTTGTAGCCTACAGAGTGCATAATTCTTCTCATGATTCATGGCATATGCACGTTGCAACTTTAAGCGCCCCTTATGTAAAGCCATTTTAGTGTCTACTAACTGACAGACAAGACACTTCTGTATAGTGGTGCAAGTGGTTAAAACAGGTGACCCCTCCAGGCGGCCTTAGACCCTTAAAAATACAGAACATGTGACTTTGTAGAGGTGTTATACTTGTATAGCATTAGGTAGCGAAAGGCTGTTTGAAAATTTTCAAAACAACGGATATTAGAATTTATTACTTTTTGTGCTAGAGGGTGCAGTGTCCTGGATCAAGTCATGAATTCAATGGCATTGATTCTGAATAACACAGAAGGCATCATTGAATTCGGCTTGATTGATTTCACTAGTTATATTTGAAAATGCTAAAATTTGCTATCGCTTAGGTCATTTTCGTGCTAAGAACCATAGAGTTCAGCATACTAAACCACATTTAAATGTAGTGAATTCTAAAAAACGATTTAGGACATACTTGGTCCGACCTAGTTTTGCAATGTTATATACCTCAAGGATATTCTAATATGTCAAAGGAAAGAACACTTTAAGATATAAGAAACGGATTCCAACTTTGTCACTCATAAAGACAATTAAACCTCAAAAACACGGAAAACTTGCTTTAACCAGCCTGAATTTAGTAAATAAATGTTAATAACTAGACATTTCATAACTACTTAAACATTGGAAGTCACTAAAGTATATTTCCTGAAAGAGAAATACAGAGTCCTGTAACCACCAAAGATGTTTTATAAAGTTAACACATAACCACCAAAGATGTTGTTCAGCTGCATTAGATTAGCAAATGTTATGACTCATCTCAGAAAATTTCGAATAATGCTACCGTATGTTTCCCTCGCGAGCAGTTACATCATTTTTGTTTCATTTGTTTCAATATTGTTTAATGCTACAGAAAATCAGCAAAACAAAGTAAATAATCCACTTTTCTGCTATAAGGCGAAATTGTATCCAAAAAAATTCCAATTTCTCCAACCGGGAGAGATAGTAACCATGACTGTTTTCTGGTTAGACAATAAATTTTAGTATGGAAGTGCAGATTTTCAGGATTGTACTTATGTTAAAAACCAAAAAACAAACACTGAGCTCTGAGGTACCACACTTGTGACAATAATCCAGTTTGTCTGAACTCCATTCATAAAAACCCTTAGCTTTCTTCCATTTAGCCAGTTTCTTATGAAATAAGCCAATTTTCGAGAATCCCGAAACTTCAAACCTAAATCTCTACAACGATGATGATGATGACAGAAAACTAGTTAGGGTCAAGATGCCATAAGGAAAGAAGCTCTCAAGTCAATAACAAGGAAAGCCAATGAATGGAGTGAAGCTTTGATGGTATAGATTTCAAAAACATTTCAGTCCATTTTCTCATACTCAAATCCATTATGGATAATGTTCTGAAGAAATTGAAGATAGCGGACGTGCTACTGTTGAAAGCCTACCCGCTGCCCCATTTTAACCACTCGTCAGTGCAAACGAATTTTGAAACATGTTGTTAAATAAAACTGCACAGCTGGCATTGCTCACAAGTTGAGAACTCAGGTCTGCAAGCTAGCACAACTAGTGTGTGCAGCAAGCTCCTTTCTGGTGACTGTTATAAAGCTACACTCTATAAGCACATCTGTGACTTTGCTTTGATCGTCCAAATCGTGGTGAATAACAATGGAAATCAATCATATGGAGACACTATTCCCGCCATTCGTTATTCGTTTCGAATAGACTGGTTCGAATTAGACAGCAGTTTGACAAACGCTTTGGATACTGTGTTATCCCAACCATAAAGAGTAGTCGAGTGTTATCATGGTGTAGCATGTTTTAGATAGTTTGGACTAGTTCTACTGATAATACTTAAAGAAACCATTGATATTATGCCTCATTGTGGCGCTATGGACAATGTTACATCACCTGAACTGATGGAATTCTGTGGAAAAGAATTCTAAATGAGTATCGCACATAACTATGCCGCCATATCCTCGCTGTATTCAGCATTTGTTTGAGTCAGATAATATCAAACACCTGTCATGGCCAACCCTGGATCTTGACCTGAACTATATTGACTCGATCGATGATACATATGAAAACTGCCTGAAAAACAGAAAGGACGAATCCCAAAATCTATCTTTACTTAGAAATGCATTACAAAAAGAGTGACGGTCTATTCCACCAGAAGTGCACTAATTGTTGACGGTAATTTATATTAAAATAGTCCAAGCTGTGATTTCCTCCAAAAGTGGGCCAATTATCTTTCAAAATGAGGTTCAGCGACAAAATATCAGTAGATTAAGAATATATTGAAACAAAAATTTTTAACTCACCAAACTGACAGAACGTTTCTGGAGGTAACATTTATCTAAGAGTAAATAATAATGTAAGAGTCTTTAATGAACATAAAACTAAAACCTCAAAGAGAGGCTAACATTCGTTATTGAAACATTTTAATAAGAAAAATGGTATATCAGAGAAAATGACACCACAACATATCGACACGATATAAAAATGTAGAAGCTTATTGTCATGCACAAAACTACACAATGAGCTATCTGTGCTCTGACAACCACGGTAATCAAAACAAGATTTTTAGCATTATGAACGCTCAGTCTTGCCGCTGAACCGTCGGTAGGAAAATGCAGGAGTTCAGAAATGGTGCAAATAATGCTACCTAAATAAATTCGTTAGAACCTTCTATTACAGAGGTAAAGCCCCCAGTGGCAAAGCGGTATGTCTGCGAACTTACAACGCTAGAAACCGGGTTTCGATACCCATGGTGGGCAGAACACAGATAGCCCATTGTGTGGCTTTGTGCTTAACCACAAACAAACATAGAGATAAAACATGAACAAGATTCAAAAGCCGTCCAAATAAAACCAATTAAAAATTAAAGACATTTATAAGATTAGAAAATGTGGAAAACGATTTTCACTGTATTCCCAAGTTTTTGTTTTGATAAAAAAAACTGATTTGCAATATTCTTATTATAAAGTTTTTCGAAACATACCAACTAAAAACATTATTTTCCTCTCTCTCTTGCGGCTGGACGATACATAGTGTTTAGCATGCCCAGACTATGAATCTAAGGGTTCATTGTTTGAGTTTCGTTACCAAAAGAGGCACTCCGCACTTGGGAAACATAAGTGTGCTATAATAGTGGAGATATATTCCGATATAAGCCTAATACGATTATCTTAGGACAAATATAATTGAATATGACCACTCTTAGCCAGCATAAGGTGTTCAAGTTATAACAATTGTTACTGTAACAAGTGGCTGATACATACAGTGTTCCAAACATTAGTGTTCATTGTATTCCATCTGTCTCGATAAGCATTGGCATTTAGCGAAACGCGTCGATGGCAATGAATATGACGGACATATCGTCATTGAAATATTATTAAACACTCGTCATCTTGAAAAACCCTAAGGGACCGAATAAAGAATGTAGTGTTTTAAAGTACAATAAGCCTAACACTATTGCTTTATGACATTTTTGTAGTTTTCAGGGGGTCTTGTTACATACTGAAATATCACTCCTTACTTACAAAGAGACTTTTGTTTAAACTAAAAATTTACATTATGTTTCTCATTAATACTTACAACAAATTCATACATAAAATTTACGATATGCTGAACAAAACCATCACATTGTTCTTTTTAAATTATTGGAACGTGGAGAAAATACTTATACTTTAGCATATGTACTTTTACCCTTGAAACAAAGAATATTGTAGAATGATAAGTAGCCACTGATCTAACGTTGTCTGGTACACATTAGAGAATGGTGGTTGTTTCATTACTAAGACATTGCAGTCATCAGTCTGCTTCTTGGACGAAAATTCGGAAGAACAATAAAAATGTGCGTCAATCGTGTAACACAACATCTCTAAACCAACAAGTCTGGGCATCTTTTGCTTTTTAAATTGTACCTCGCATTGAACTATTAAATTCAGAAAAGTTGGTAGTGAACTAATATATATTAGACTTTTTCGTATTTGAAATTTAAATGTTTAAAATGCTGTGTAGGTCCAAAGGTGTTATATATGTGATAATCTCAGGTCTAATTACCGAAAAGCTAATTTGACTTTATATGAAAATGTGATTCAATGTGTTCCATATGATAAGATTCTGTAAACTGATCGAAATATAAAGTGTAGTCTTACACACTATATTATATTTATAGGATGATTTTTAGCTGAAGAGAAAACTATAGTAGCGTACTGCTTGCCTTAACGCAGTAACTGCGTAGTAATGTACTGATTGTTTAACATAGTAATTGTGCAGCAGTGTACTACTTTTCTTAACATTGTTAGTATTTTTAATTGATTATTAAGTGTAATCGTTTACAGAAAATGTAGTGATTGTTTATATTATGGTTGCATACATAAGCGTTTAAATCCGCAGATCGTGAGCCTCATATTAGGGTTCTAAAAACTATTTAATTGATTAGCTTACCCTACAGGTAGAAATATTAGTACTTATCTAACATTTCTTAAACAGGCATAGATATATATTTTTTTATATATATATATTTCACAGATACCAACTTTTCCTGAATATTGAGAGATGGAGAACAACGTCCTTACAGAAAATCTTAATTGTGTATTCAATGAGAAAGTCACACTCAGTCGGAAAATTCTCGGAGTTGAGAAAAAGTTAGTTAATGACCTATGTGACGTCCTAAGAAAAAGTGTGACGTCAAACTTTACGTCATAGACAGACATGACTTTGATTTCCAGTTTCGATACAATATTCGAAAAAGATTTAGAAGAAACGTTTTCAAAACCATCAGGGTAAAAATAAACACCATCCGTTCCAAACATTGTTATTACTTGCATATAAAATATACCGAAAAGCATGAACTTAATGTTTTATAACTTGAATGAAGTATATTTCTTCGGTGTAGGTGACGACTAATTCTGAACAGTTCTGTCCTTCAAGCGTGTGATCAGTAAACCTGAAAAAGTGCTGGTTTCATCATGTGTTACTGAGTAACTACTACTAAACCACCAACATTGTAACTTTGGTATATTAAATATATAAATATGTGATCGTGTAAAGTAACATGTTTCATTTAACAAAACACCTGTTGTTACATACGTAATTTGTCATACTAAACTGTAAGACCGTAACCAAGGAGGGGAGATTCGTTTATTGTAACTCAAGCTGTTGTTACGTAAGTATTTTGTCATACTAAGTTGTAAGACCGTAACCAAGGAAGGGGAGATTCGTTTATTGTAACTCAAGCTGTTGTTACGTAAGTAATTTGTCATACTAAGTTGTAAGACCATAACCAAGGAAGGGGAGATTCGTTTAGTATAACCCAAGCTAGAAGCCCAAGTCCGAGGTGGCCTGTCTGATTTTTTTTTTTTTTGTATGTTTTCAGGAAGATCTGGCTACGATCTCGAACAGATTTTAGTTCATTGTGTTAAAACAGTAACATTCTTCTTTTAACACATCTACTGCGACATAGTTTAGTCTTGGAATTTGTTGTACTGAAAAGCTGACATCTTCTGTTAAAAACCATTTGGAGTACGTTAATAGTTTATCATACGAAGTCTTTAAATGTTACGTTACAAATGTATTTTACACAGAAAGTCATAGAAAATGGTTTATTTAACCCAACACATTGATTCTTTCGTTATCTTAGGTATTATACAAGCTGGAACATAACATTTGCTCAGTATGATGCAATATTTGGACCCCTAGTGAACAGTGTAAATACAGATTGGTGATTTGGAGTTTAACTTATTGTTATTTAAGAAAGATGATCTGGTGAGAGCAATTTCATATTATACATTTTTATGTAGTTAGAGCCCTGACATTTTGTATCTATTTACCTTAAATACAGTATTTCTGAGAACATGTTGTTAATATGAGGTATTTGTTGATTTTTTAACAACGTTATTCCCTCCAGTGAATGAAACACCAAAGTAGTGGTTCACTTTTTTAATAATAATTCTAGCAGCTTAGGCTGTAAATCTGAACATTTGTTAACTGTATCTAAGGTACCTTTTACATAAATGAAGTTGTACGCCGATTCTACTAATTAGAAATAAATTAAATGTCTTGCATTCTCACACATGTAAAGGTTGATGGGTGAAAAACCTTCGTACTTTTGTCATTCTGTTCTCGAAGATTTGCATCAGGATTTGATACCTCATGAGATTAAACAGAAACTAACGAAGAACTATCGCATGCACTAACAAATTATTAGTTCTTTTATACACCGTTTATCTATTTAACATGTAGATATTCTTAGAATATTCTGTTCAGGTTCTTTTTATTAGCACGTGAATCTTTCGACAGTTACACTCGGCTTCCATCGACACGATCCGTTCGTAACGCTGTTTATCTGTTGAAACGGAATGTTCATCTACAGCGTAATTCATAATTCTGATAATATATAGTTGTATATGGTTCTAATAATGAATGTGTGTAATGTATGACGCAAATCCCAGTGTTAAGTGTGTAGCATACAACAAGCGTAGAAAATAATGAAACTCTGTGCTTAACAAGTGTATCTAAAGTTAACACTTATGTGTAAAATAGATTAATCTTCGTGACGTATGTCATATACTACTGGAATTAGAACGACTGTATTGTATAGTCATGATACAATAAGGTCCAGTAAAAGTAATTATTTAATATATTATGAACAGTATCTCTTGCTTCAGTTAAAAACTAGTTTTTAATGTAGACGAAATGTTCAGTTTTTTTCATAAATGTGTAATTTTACCGTTCATTACAAAATATAAATATGTTTCCACATTACAGATTTCAAAGCAGAGCACACGACGAGGAGTGTGTACAGTTCGCTTTCAATTAAACGGAAAGTGTGTATCTTCTTTGTTTCGTGACGAAACATTTGGTGTTCTTAGTAACTTTTTACAAGAGCAAACAGGAGTGATAAGCCATAATGTTGGTAAACAAGCAATGAATATACAAGTACAAGCAATGTGCGGGAAAAAGGACAGAAATTGATATTGTTTCTGTCATTGAAATATCAACGTTACCTGTTCTTCTAAGATTTCTGAAAGATGAAACACGTGTGGTAGCAGTTTCAAAGTCATTCGGTAAATATTTTGATGACTTGGTGAGAAGACAGGTTCCAATCGCCGGTCTTCTTCTCCTACCAGATGGAGGTGATTGAGCTTTAAACTTGGTACCACTATATAGGGTTGTCATTAAGAATCTTTGTCAAGAAAAAAAGAATATTCGTCTGCTTAAAGCTCTTAGAAATCAGATGGAGTGGGACAAGTGTGGACTTTATGGGTCTCACATTTTCACTGTCGTAGCACATTTTGAGTGTAAAAATAATTCTTTGGGCAGCTGCTTTTTTACACGCTCTACACACGCTGCATGAATCGCTAAAACGTGGCTTCTTACTTGACATATTTGTTCCCAACATGAACCATTTAGCACACTTTCAAGTTGAACAAAGAAATTACCTTGCTAGTAAAGTTTCCACTTTGATAGAAGATATCACACAGAACCCCAAACACGTAAGCGACTATTTTTAGGCCTCATGTCACCGAAACAAAATCCTCTGAAAGGTTACTTGTTCACGTTGTGTAATTTTACTATGATCTGTTGGAAGCAAATAAAAAAAAATACTAACAGATTAATTCCTTAAAAGATTGCATTTTTTAATCTTTGTGGTATAACGATATAATCTACTACGTACAGTTATAGTTGATTGTTACACTGAAAATCATCAAATTCCCTTCTATCTTCCTCATCGCTATTACGTATTAGAATTTCAAATAGCCTGAAATTGAGTTAACTGATAAATTTAAATTTAGTAGTTAAACTGTACTTTGAATTTAGTAGTTAAGTAAAAGCCGATATATAGTCAGTTTATACTTGCCAACAAGACTGATACACATGGTTTTCTTTTTTACCACAAATACGTTTTAATATACACACAACAATACAATTTACAATAAAGTTATTACAAATAGTTATTATAAAC